CCTCGGGACTTGTCTCAGGGTCTTGGGGTGTGGGGGGCGCACGGGAAGGGACCACGGTGGAGCACTCGGCTGTGACCGCGTGTGCCCGCCCTCCCGGCCAAGGAAGCGGCTGTCAGGGAGCCTGGTGTGCTGCACACACGGCCTCGACCAGAGGCCTGCTGCCCGGGAAGCCGACAGGGACTAACGGGCCATCGCCCCGACCAGTCGGGCTGGGAGGCTGTCGGGCCTGTGTGTGGGGGCAGAGGTCGCAGAGCGCCGTTGACCTGTCTTCTCTCCCTGGCAGGGCGCCATCCTGACCACCATGCTGGCCACCAGGAACTTCTCAGGTGCGTGGGGAGGACCTGGTCCTTGTCGTCTGTTATCCTTTCCAGCTGTCTCTCTGGAATCGAAAAGTAATAATAATGAGGAACACGCTGTTGTTTGGGGATGGCGATGTGTCGTGGACTCGACCCCACGGGCCACAGGCTCCCCGCACGGTGGTGTGTCAGGGTTCCGGCAGGTGAGCCCCCCCAAAGGGTGCAGCCGCCCCACCACCCGGCAGCCTGTGCAGACACAAGCCCCGCTGCCGACCCTGCCTGTGTCGCTGTCGTCCTGGCTCAGCACCTGCACCTCGGATTTGTCAGCTGACGTTCCGTAAAGTTCACAGCGAATGAGCATCTCATTCCATCGGGAATCCCAATAAGCGAGATTTTAAAAGACCACGATTGAGGAGCCGGCTCTCTAGGCTGCCTCCTCCCGAAAGCAGTGTCCCTGGGTGCAGGGGAGCCCGCTGGTGGGTGTCGGCTCAGTAGGTAGGTAGGTGGGTCCCTGGGTGCAGGGGAGCCTGCTGGTGGGTGTCGGCTCAGTAGGTAGGTAGGTGGGTCCCTGGGTGCAGGGGAGCCCGCTGGTGGGTGTTGGCTCAGTAGGTAGGTAGATGGGTCCCTGGGTGCAGGGGAGCCCGCTGGTGGGTGTCAGCTCAGTAGGTAGGTAGGTGGGTCCCTGGGTGCAGGGGAGCCTGCTGGTGGGTGTCGGCTCAGTAGGTAGGTAGGTGGGTCCCTGGGTGCAGGGGAGCCCGCTGGTGGGTGTTGGCTCAGTAGGTAGGTAGATGGGTCCCTGGGTGCAGGGGAGCCCGCTGGTGGGTGTCGGCTGCCCACAGGATCCTTGCAGGATGGGGCGGCCTCAGCGAGCCCGTGGGCACAGGGAGAGTAAGTGAGGGGCTGAGCCTCGGTGCAGAGTGGGTACAGTGTTTGTTGTCTGCAGAAATGCTTGCATTTTGGGGCCCCTTCTTGACAGATTATCTCAAAAGACCTAGTTGCCACGTCAACTTCTGGCACCTGCTGGTCAGCCTCAAGTACAGGAGGCCGGCAGAGCAAGGGAGCTGCTCTCGGTCAATCTTCTGTTTGGCCTTTGACCCTTGGAACCACTGTCAAATGACTGTCAGAAACGGAACCAGGAGAGGGTCTGCGGCGTCAGCGGGACTCTCGGGGTCTCGTCCTCTTGTCCGCTCCGCGTGGCCTGGCACCGCGGGGACAGGGTGTCCCACTGTGTGTCGGCAGGGAACCCGCGGCTCCCCAGCTGTCCCTGCGGTCGGCGGCAGTGAGAGCACCAGGAGCTCGGGCCTGGGGTCAACCGTTTGGGGCGAGCTCAGTTCCTCTCGTTCAACGTCACCTAGCGTCACTGTTAAGTCCATTCATGCCGTGTCGCGCTGGGGCCCGATGCTGGGTGAGTCGCTCGGCATTAGGGGTCCATGCAGTCTGTGAATGGCAGACCCGCTCGAGGAAGCGTTCGGAACAGGCTGTGTGTTTTGTTAAAGCCTCAGCGCGTTCTGGGCCCCAATCGGGCCTTTGACAAAGCCTGCGCCCTGCAGCCCCCTCTGGCCCGCGGGGCCTCTTCTGCCCCCTCATCCCTGGCCCCGGGCGCGTGGCCAGGTGCAGGTGCTGTCCTTCCTGATGCCGCATGGGAGGCAGGCTCTGCTCCTCACTTCAGAGTCGCTGGTAACCGGAGGCCCCGCGGGTCCCAGCTCGGGCAGGCGCTATGCCCATTCTGAGTATTTTCTTTCTTCTGTCTTGTCACCCAGCTGCCCTGTAAAGCACAGCAGGTTGCAGAGCTGCTTTCGTGTTTCCTTCTCTCCCTCACGTGGGAGGTGTTACTGTGAGGCGAGTGCACAGACACCGGTCCTGGCCCAGCCCGTCCCCGTCCTCTCTCTGCCCGCTGGGCCCCTCTGCCCGCTGGGCCCCCTCTGCCCGTTGGTATCCCTCTGCCCGCTGGGCCCCCTCTGCCCGCAGCACATTCCCACCCACACGCTCTCCCACCTGGAGGCCCAGGGTTGCTCTCTAGCTCCAGGCGAGTAGTCTTGTCGCCCAGACAGGCTTTCTCACACTCTCAGTCACTCGTCAGTTAGGAGCCGTGTTGCTACGGACTCAGAAAGTCAGGCTTTGTGTCTTAAGTTGAAAATGATGCCGAAGAACAAAGTACC